TTGTATTTATAATAGATGTTTTTTTTATGGATGACTTAAAAATATATGTTGTTAAAATCAATAGGTTTGATTCCTAGATAGAAATTCTGTTTATTTAAAAGATAACCTACGGTGTAGTTTCAGTTTGCGTTAAAATTCTTAATTGTTTCAGATATGGCCGTTCATGTCTGGAATAAATCTCTTTTTTTATATTTATGTTAGAAAGCCTATAAAAATATTTTTAATCTAAGAATAAGGAATTTTCTTTGAATTCAAATTATTTTTTAAGCGCTAAACGTTCCCTCTGACAAAGGCCTCGGCGTATATTATCCGTGGGGGTCGCGGAGTCGCCGGTATCGAATCTGTATTCATGTCGCGGCGAGCGCAGCAATGATTACCGCTCGCCGGCGTTTTATGGTAATCCTACAGTTGGAAATTCAGTTGCGTTGATTTTTCACGAGGCGGATTTCACGTGGTTTTGTCTTGCGAACTTACTTTCTTTAGTGTTGTAGTTCTTTTAAGTAAATAAAAACCAGGTAAAAGAGATCGAACCAAACATACAAAAGTGAATGTATCCGCCCTAAATAAATTCCATAGGCATGAAATACTCGTACATACATAGTAATAATTATCCCAAAATGTAACATACTAGTTGTTGCTTGCGACTTCGCCCCCGTGAAATTAAAAAAAGTGTAGCCTATTATTCACAGATACCTTACTAACAATGAAAGAATTTTAAATTCGGACCATACTTTTTAAATTATTTCAATACATACAAAAATACAAATCTTTCCTCTTTATAATATTAGTATAGATTATTATGTTAGATCCAATTTGTCGTAATGTGGAAATTAATAAAAGTTAAGTATTTGCAAAAATTATTTAAATTCAAGTAAGCTCGAGTATATATTTTTCACATTTTTCGGATTATAAAAATATAGAGTAAATTCAAAAGAATTTACTCCGGCCCTTTGTAGTTTCACGGCATGAATTTTCCCGACCTATTTTCTATGGAATAAATCAAAAAGGAGCCGAGGTCTAAAACGCAGCCGATGAAAAAAGATTAACAGCGCGGGCACTTTTGTGTCGCGGACAGGGATCACGAAATATGGCCTCGGGGTCGAGGAACCGAATTTGGGAGGCTTACCTCGACTTTCAAGAGGTCTGTAATATATTTGTAGTTTGTGAAAAGTGTGTTTTTAAGTTTAGTAGAAGAAATAGTACTATACTACTTATAGTATAAATGCGAAAATTTAGATGGATGGATGGATGTTAGAATTTGTAGCCTAAACGGCTAAACAGATGAAATTTGGTATAGTAGTAGAAGATAGTCTGGAAGTACACATAGAGTACTCACTTTTGTTTGCTTTTTCTTTAATAAAACGCGGATGGAGTCTAGTCATTAAATAAAATCATTTTATGAAATAAACTAGCTGTCCCCGTGCGGCTTCATCCGCATGGAATTATAAAAACTTTATTTTATTGTTTACATTTGTCAAATTCTCAATTTCAAATGTCAAAATTCACATGCACTAATGACAACCTTGCTTCCTTGATGTTGGGATTTTGTAGTTTATGACCCCTTTCCCATATGAAGGTTTTTCTCCAATTTATTTACCTCTAAGTTAAAGAGCGTGAAAATCTTTATTCAAAAAACAAAGAATTATTCAAAAACATGCTGTAATTGCTGACATCCTACGCCACAAAGTATTGTGTGTTTACGCTTTATTATATTAGTACAGAAGTATAGATGACTAATAAATAAAAATGTTCTCACTAAATGAATATTGTTTTTTTACGAATTCTTTTGTAGCAAAGACCTTTTTTGTTCAAACGTCACGTGCGAATTCGCGAAGAGCGGACGGAAATCCGAGAAAGTTTGGGAATTTAACGAAAACTTTCACCCTGAAATTGTACTCTTCGCACGCTTTAAAAGAAATTCTAACAAAATGCGTCGCTTAATAAATTTTACGTTGATGGTGAGAATGTAAGTTCTGTTTGTTAGTGTCGCCTTGGAATGAGGTCGAGAGGACATTTTTTTCTCTTAGGACAAGGAAAGTAGTTTTTAATAGTTCCTAGATTAACTATGTAAGTACGTTTAAGAAACCACTTTAAGTGTGCGTTAAGAGTAAAATATATTAAGGAAAGAATTTTGTATGGATGTTGCTCTAAGAAGTCTAAAATCTGAAGCCACTTTTAACATTAATAATTTCATCAGACAATATCTTAAAACACTCTCAGCGAGTAGCGTCGTTTAAAAAATACTAAGGGGAACGACGAGGGCTGGGAATAAATTCTAAACATCATTATTTATCGACAGAGAATATTATGTCGCGAAATAAATGAACGCCATCAAATATCCTTTAGGGTGAGGACAAAGGGCGCAGGAGGCGACACGCTCTCGAGAAATTAATGCACGACGGTCGCTTTGATTGCAGAAAAATATACGGCATGTATTCTTTTTAGATTACAGGCAGAAAATGCAATTTGTTTTAGTATAATATTACAATGTATGTATGTAAAATTTTTCATTTTGTTTTGTCGAAGTGTGCCGTTTACTATACATTTACTCTACTTTACTGAACTCCTTAATATCGTTCTCAGTTTATACATGAGATGCTTTTTTTCTATTGAGGTACAAAATTCTTTAATAATACTTATTGACAATAACACGTGCCACTCAGTACGCGGCCGGCACGTCTTGAGCGACGGGAGCAGTCGAGTGCAATGATTTACGTCGCTTCCTCTTTTTCCCCGCTCTGCCCTTGTCACGTCGCTTTTAAATGACAGATCTGTAGGGAGCGGGTATGTCGGGGTACAATGGGAAAATCGAACGTCGCAAGGTAACTCACGCTCTTGAATTCCGAACGTTACAAGAGAATGCTTTAGGTGATTACTACCGTATCCCGTTGGTGCAAAGTTTTCACGACAAAGACCATTTTGGTATCGTGTCCTCTACTAGTGTGAACGGTTCTATTTGAAAAAAGTTAAACTGTTCCATGATATTAAAATCAGGATACTATTTTATTTCTTGATGTTCTCGAAATATTACAAATGTTAAAATTACATCTAACTATACATTTTTTTTTAATATGTGCATCATAAAAACTTCATAGTAGCGTCAGCAAAAGCGTTTCCATATTTATAGCGAGTCCAAGAAAAATAAATATTTAAAGAAAAACTGTCACTGAGCCATAAATTTACCTCAGATGACAATTAATTTCCGGCCTATTTATAAACTTTTGAGGGGCCACCTTTTTCCTTTTAGTCGTTCATTCCATTTTCACGTTTCACGCAAAATTTTCCAAGGATTGTTCCTTTTGTTTATTACATTAGGTAAAACCACAACCTTTTGAAATTAAAATAAATACAAGGGAGAGGTCTTAGGTGGCCTTGTGACAAGAATATTAGTCATCGTAAGCAATCATCAAAAGCACCTCGTTTTTAATTATGCAAAATCGGGTCATTTATTTACCTCCTCCTCCTACCTCAGCTCTGTTTCAAGCTCCCTTTTAGCTGAATGGACACAATTATTTACTTGAAAATTATGAAATGCGCGTGATAGATGGCTCTATCTGTTTCAATTTCGCTGAAGCCGAGCTGGGATTTCGCCGGCTTTGTCCCCAAATTTCGTATTGGACAGGTAGTGGAATGTAGGCAATTTTTTAACGTCGTCTTCTTGGTGATATTATTTTAGACAATGAATAATATTGCAATTGTGCTGCTCATTTTTACCCAAAAATGATGGATGGATAATTTTTAAACAATTCAATTATTTCTTCGTCTTCTCTCTGTCACTTTACTTCTTTGCCAACGATGATTTTATGCGTTTGCGTTTGTCCATTTCGCTATATTTTTCCATTAAAAATATTTCTCATTTGTAAAATAATTTGTAACAAAATTCTGATATAATTCTGTAACATCGGCCAGATATCAATATTCCCGAGTGCTACGTTACATAAAATTTAGGTCAATCGAGGATCACGTCAAAATTTCCCAGCGCTCAAACAAATTGAAACTCAACTCGTAATTTATTAAAGAGACTTACATTATTCGTACGGAAAAAACTCGAAAAACTATCGGAGGAAATTGTCTAGTCAATTTTAACCCCATGACTGCGACGAGTCGATTATCAATTCAACCCGTTCACCGCTAGTTGGATGTCAATATTCATTTAGAGCGCGGCCACGGTGGCACGGCAGCGGCAAGCGTGATTTGTCGCTCGCCCCGTCACCGAAGGGAGGCGGCGTGATGCGAATCGCAAATCGGCATCCGACTCGTCGCGTAGCTGCCCGTATGCATCGATTCCAAATCGTTTCGATATTAATATCGAGTCGCGATCACTCGAGTTATCAATGACTCGATTGATTGTGATTTTGTGTGTTTTAATATATCTTTTGCAATGAGCAAAGATTTTAATTTATTTTGCAAAACAATGCTTTTGATGATCTATTTTCCGCTAAATTATCGATGTTTTTATACGCCAAAAACTAGTAGGTTCAGTTATTTTGTCTCATAGCATTTTACGCATACAAACCTATCCAGTAAATAAATCATTAATTATCAAAATAACACTATGACGTTACAAGACAGTAAAATTTTCAAATAGCTTTTGTTGAGTTTGTTTTTTAAATTTACGATTTACTGAAATGTGCCCTCTGTACCATGTTTTCAACGCGTCTTTTAGATGTTTTTACAAAACGGACCGATTTGTTTTACGTAAGACAGTGACAGAGCGCAACTATTTATATTTTGACAGCTCTATTTTTGTGCTATGTTAAACAATATCTAAAAATATATACGCCTTGAGTTAATGTGGGATCGAAGTGGGCGCGGCGCGACGTCATAACGCGGAGATCAAAATATGTTCATCTGTTACTACAAATATTTTAATATATTCGCACATCTAGATCCACAGTAAAATTACCAAAAGTAAATACATCGGTAATTGCGAATAAGGATAAAAAATGTTTATGGAAATATTGACAAAGGTAATAAATTAAATTATTTTTTGTTCCCAGATTTTACGCAGTACATGGGAGACATGGAGGTGCAGGATTTTAAGGCTTTAACTGGAGTTACTGACAGGTGAGTGAAAAAATCCAATATCACTAATATTAACGCAAAAAAAAAAACAAATAAAACTAACAATATTTTATCAATTCAAATGTTGTTTATCACATCAAAGTGCTTAAGTCCACCTTTTTACTTGTCATACAAAATTATCCTTTTGATAGCGACTTTGACGGAAGGGTCCTTCCTAACTTCGAGGAAATCCCGCTATTCTTGCGACCGACGTCATCCATCTTGTTTTCCTTTTTTTTCGCTTCCGTGCTCATCCCAAATTCCTCTATTCGTCAAAGTGCAATATCATCAAATCACTGTAAAAGAAGTTCCATGATTCGAGCAGAGGGAAAAGGGGGTGAAATATTACAACGCGAACTACGCTTTGCAAAGGGCGAGTACTTTTAAGATTGAAAGCCACGTAAAGATATACTTTTCCTTGCTAATAATTCGGTTGAAGGATTTGAAACATTTTTGCTTAACTTATAATTGGACATAGAAATAATTAATCATTGGCGATTACAGTTAATCCTGATAACGATTGAATTGTGTATTAATTTAGTAGATAAAATGTCGTTCGCAATATTTTATTTCATTACTTTTAAGCATTTACCTGTAGACATTGTTAATAGTGGGATTGATCGTTTGTCGAAGCAAAGGTTCGCTTATATTATATCTTTCTGTGTGCAACATACCTAGCGTTTTTAGTAGCGGCATCTTGTGCCGAGTCACTCAAGACGTATTTCATGGTACGTCGACTCACGAAATGATATTGTCGGAAATATGATTTGAGAAAGTAACAAATGTATTATGTACTGCAGTCTCTGTTGGAGGAGCATGTGTTTGATCCTATATTGATCTCGCGCCATTATAGATTTTATTATTGGAAAATATTTCTGCCACATATTTTTAAAATATTCATACTGACTGAAATGTACCGTCTGTTGTTACATCGGTATTCCATCTATTTATTCTTTGTTAACGGTATTTCAAAGCTGAGCTATTTGGATACCAAAATTCTATATTTTATATATTGATAACTCTTTTTTGTCCTTTAAACTTCCTTTTTTATTGAAAAGGTAAATTTTCCTTCTTATCTATACTTTTATGATAAAGCGTAAACACACAATTCTTTCTTGCCTAAGATGTCAGCAATCACAGCAAGTTTTCGAATAACTCTATTTTAAATAAAAAGCCCTACACTTACGTCACGCTTTAGGTTATATATTTTCACGTCGATAAACTTAAATATTTTGGATAAAAACACTAATGTGGGAAAAAAACCATAAGTTGCCATCATCAAGGAAGCAAGGTTGCCATGGTTTGACATCATGCCATGTTATTTTGACATTTGCAATTGATGACAAATTTGAACAATAAAATGATGTTTTAATAATTTTATGCGGATAAAGTCGCATGGGAACAGCTAGTTTTCTATATATTTTCACAACGTTTAAGGATTTCTACGAAACCACAGTTGAAAATATTACATAAATAAACATTAAATATACCGTTTTTAGTGCTAAACGTAGACCCGTGACTATTCGTCGTTAATTAAAGGCAGTCTTAGTTCAAACCAAATAAGAGTAAATGTGAAACAAGGTTTTGCCGCAAACATCGCGGAGCTCAGCTTATGTAAATAAAACGCTTCGCTTCGCTTTGTTTGTACAAGAAGCCTTATGTCTATCTAAATGAACAATGTTTGTATCATCTTGTAAACATGTTTAATAAATAATAATTCAATTATATTAAAATAATCTGTGTTTACTCAACGGTATGCGATTACACAATATTTTACACGTATAAATAAGCTACATACGTCCCTTTCAAATTTCGTTGTAAGAAATTGGATAGCAAGGGTAAATATTCTCATTCTTTACGTCCCCTCCTCTGGCCATTAATAGTCAACGAATCTCCTACCTTTTAAACTGTTGCTCATATTAGGCAGTATTTGTTTTTGCAATTACAGCAAATTTAATGGTCGCTACCACCTTTCCACCTTTTACTATAAAAAATAGAACAATGGAGACATATAGTCTATTGAATAAATAGTACAATTTGTATCGAATGCGTTAAGATAGAAGGGGGTCAGGTCAGGGGGTCTTTGAGTCGTGTAATCAATCAGGTAGATGCGACCCCTCGGCTCTCGAGCGCGTCTTCACGCGCGGTCAACGCTAATCACGCGCTGAGGCGGACGGCACTTCACGCCCTAACGGTGATCTATTCAGGTGCTTATATAGCACAGTGTCAGCTATTCTCGTATAGGGATTAGCACATTAATTAACTAATGTATGTCACAGACAGATTGTGGACTTCGTTAGATTATAATTCGACTAGATTTATAAAATACCAGCTGTTTCAATGAGGCTTCATCCGCATGTAATCATAAAAACTTTATTTTATTGTTTACATTTGTCAAATTCTCAATTGCAAATGTCAAAATTACCATAATAACATTGCTTCCTTAATATTAGCAGCTTGTAGTTTATGGTCGCTTTCCCGTATGAACGTTTTTTCAAATTTATTGACCACCTAAGTTTAATAGCGTAAAAATATATTGCCTAAAGCGTGACGTAAATGTAGGGCGTTTTATTAAAGTAAGAATTATTCAAAAATATGCTGTAATTGCTGAGATCCTACGCCACAAAGTGTGTGTTTACGCTTTATTATATTAGTATAGACTAGCTATTGTTCATGACTTTGTCTTAGTGAATATAGCCTATTACTCAGTGAAAACGTAGCTTTGTAATGGTGGTAAATTATTGAATTTTCCACAGTAGTTTTTGAGTTATTTCAATACAAACAAAAATGTAATTATACAAATCTTTCCTCTTTATGATATTAATAAAGTTCAGTTATTTGTTAAACTAACCACAGGCTTTTAATGTTTTGATGAAAACAATGAGTAAAAAACTCTTAAGCAAGAAAATAAAATGAAACAGTCTAAGATATGTACTATATCTTCATATCTTGAACTGTAAATGAAGCTTATGACAATAGGTACTCATTTCAAATGGTTTCTATTTCTATTGTAAATAAGACGTCTACTTTGTTTCTGAAGTACAAACATCTTGACTTAATGTTATTGCATGCATATAAAAGTGATTGTTCACAAGACGGTCGTTGTGTTTTATAGGTTGTTATAATCCAGATAAGTATTTTCTTTTCTAACATCTGTGTTTGAAAAATATATCTCAGTTGGAAAGACAAAATGTGTATGTTGTTTGCACTCTGATTGCAAGTATGGCATTTTAATTTCTTTTACAAAAATATACTTTGGCCTAAATTTATCTCATGACATACTTTTTTATTTGTTTTTTTTTTTAATGTTTAAAAATCTTGACAAAAATTAATTAATTTATATTAGGACAGTTTTCGGTATTTGAATATTGTATTATGTCATTAAGGAACCGTTAAAATTTACGCATTCAAATTGATTTTAGTTGAAGTCATAAAAGTCACCTTTTTAATTATAATTTTTACTGATATGAATCCACTATTTTGTTAGTAAATTTGACTTAGTCTAAGCTAGTTTTTTACTCAATCAAAATCAAAACTCAACTTCATCATTTTTTACTTAAAACAAATTGTTAGTTTTAATTAAAAGCACTCTAGTGGGTAAAATCACTGCTTAGTAATTGGATAACAATGTCTCACGACAACGTTAAACGTAGCTTATGCAAATAATGAAAGCTAAGTGCTCCGCTCCACGTATACAGGCTTTTACTCTATTATCGGCTAACTACTCGATTGTTTACTTAGCTACGTCTAAGTTGAAGACGCATGGCTCAGAGCGACAAAGCTTTCGCGTTTGAATTTGATTTCCATGTGTTGTAAAAATATTAAGTACTAGGCTGTTGCTGAGTTTGTCCGCGTGAAATTAAATTTGATAAAAAGTGTAACCTATGTTCCTCATAGATAAATTACCTTTCTAACGGTCAAAGAATTTAAAAATCGGCCCAGTTGTTGAGTTATTTCAATACATACAAAAATACAAATCTTTTCTATTTCTACTATTAGTATGTACAGATGTAACTTATTCTATACTGCAGTATAAAATCTTTAGTTTAAAGTGAGCAAAACTCTAGTATAGTGCAAGTGCAAGTTAAAATTTAACCTTTTCATTGGTTAGTTTAACAAACCAATAAAAATTATAACACAAGGCATAGACAATTTAGTGACCATTTTTTTCAAAATGAAGGGACTACATTTTTTCAGATGGTCGCTAGCGGTCATGTTTATCTCGTGGCGTTAATAAACTGTGTGACGGCGCTCTGAAACCGGCCATCAATATCAAAACTATCATTACCGCGGGTCTCCGGGGATCGATAAGCAATCAGCTGCCGCCAGGCTACCGGTATTACCTGAGGTTCTGATTAGTCCACGTCTAGCCTGACTCACTGCTGAGGCCAATAAAATGTCCCGACTTTATCATTTTTCAATATCCATTAAATTTTGATATCCATTACCTTAGTGCCGTAATAAGATGTTAAATCGATTATCTATTTCTATACATGTAACACAATTGAAGTGTCTGTTTGTTATATCAAAAGAATAAATTCAGATTTCGGGAAGATGATGTATTTTCGTTGTGGAAAACGAAACGTCTGTCTGTTTGTCTGTCCGCAAGCCGCGTATGTTCCGGGTAATCTCTGAAAGGGCTGGGCCGATTTCGACCGGACTTTTACTGAAGGGTAGTAATTTTGTCTTAATATTGCGTGGACGAATTTACAGGCAAGAGTTAGTCGGTAATAAGAATGGTAAGATGAATAACTCGACATCAAAAGCTTATGGTTTTATATCGGTTTCATTTTCAAACCTGTGCGTATTAAAACTACTTAACAATAAATTAAAAAGTTTTTATACGGAGAGTGTTGTGGGAATATATTTATGGTGAAACATATATCACATTAGCGTCCATAAATTAATTAGCATCGGAGTTAAAACACGTGTTTAACTAAACAGTATTTTAACTTATTTTTCGGGTAAAACAGTACTATTTTATATAGAACCTTTTTTCTTTA